CCACTGCCAGCTCGCCTGCCTGTCTGGATTCTGCCACCTGCCACAGCCTGCACTGAAAAGAAGGTTTTCTATGTAAATTACGAATTTTATCATTTGCATTTGAAATCTTATCTCTCAAGGCTAAATATAAGACTTTTACTTGTTAGAAGAATTTAAGTACTGCAGAATCTGTGAAACATAATCTACAATTTCCCGTCCAGCTGGTAGTCATCTGAGGTGGCCATCCTGACTTCCTTAATGACAAGCCAGAGGAAAAAGCACAGGATTTAGGAATATGCTCTTATTTGAATTGAAGTTTTAGCCGTTTATTAGCAGGGGAAAAGCATAGCAAATCCTTCTGCTCTGTAGATACTAGTTTCAACTACCTCATTTTAAAGGGTAAATTAAATAAGAATTGTGGACACAATAATATACAAAGTGGCTGAGGATTAGACAGCTCTGGCTACACTGCAAAAAGTTATCTCCACCCTTTCCTCGTTTTCACTGCAAATAAGAAGATATGAGAGAGAGAAGGCATTTCACAGAATCCCAGAAGCCCAAGAGTAGTCGGATCTAGTCCAAGTCTTACTCTAGCGTCTCAGAAAAATTATCAAGCAATATTACCTTTTTATCAATTATAATGTAAACCTTGTAACTAAAGACATGACCTCATAGTCTATTTAAAGAAAACCATGCTGAAATGAACATACCTTTCATCTGAGAAATAAGCAAAATCATGAAAAATAAACTCCCAGGAAACATTCTGAATGATTCTAAGAGGGGCTTGCGAAAAAATGTGCACAGTTCTTTGTCCCACATCCACCGAAGGATGAAGAACCTGACAGGTTCACGGCAGTTTTGATCCAGAAGAAGGAAGTGTTCCTTGATCATGTTGCACAACTGGTGAGGTACTTGAGGCTGAAACCTGGAGGGACATCATGTACTGATCAAAACCAATCACCGAGGCGGTGGTGGGGGTGGAGGTGGGCTGGATGGAGACCCCTACTTCAGTATTCCAAGTGTATTAACAATTGAAAAAAATGTAATATTTTAGAAAAAGTAGTGAAGGGCATTTATATAAAATGTGGTTGCAGGAGATAGTTTAAGCAGATTGCCGTGTAGAAATTTGTAAGGGGAAATTTAGTAAATAACTAGATGAAACACTGGAGACGTGTTTGCTCAAAATGACCAATTAATTTAAATTTCAAAGAAATGAACAAGATTCTAGAAATGCATGCAAAGCATATAATAAAAGGTGAGAGCTTTTCAAATTCATACAAAAAGAAAACCTTAATACACAAACATACCAAGGACTTGCACAAACCTGTCTATGGACCTGTGCCCTCTGTTACCCTCTACCGGAAGTAGAGTTAGGACGTTTCTCCAGCACAAACTCTTGTCTGTGCTTGGGGTTCTACACCTTCCTCTATCTCATATTGATTATTCCTCTACTATTACTATAAATGGAACCAATTTATGTTAACAAGAGGCTAACATTTGATATTTAAGCAAACTGAAGTATCTCCCTTTCAGCAGATCTTATTCTCAATCCCATAGCCCGTATCCACTATCATTTTTCATTCCCTTGTACGCTAAACTTTCCACAAGGTTTATTTGTACTTCTTGTGACAACATCACCACCCCAATGCATCCTAACCCATTCCACTCTGGCATTTGCTTTTGTTAGTCTATGGATGCAGTTGGCTAATGTGTCCCATGAGTGGGCATTTCTCCACCCAACAGGTATTTTGCTTTCTTTCTCACTTGTCTTTTCAATATCACTTGGCACTGCTGATCATTCCTTTCCCCTTGAAATGATCTAGTTAGATTCCTTGACACAAGGTATTTTCAACTTCTTAGCTTTGTGGCTCTTTGAACAAGCCCACTTCTAGCCAGCCTTTAATTTTAAATTACTCAATGTACTATTTTATACCCTCCTTTTTTTAAATTATATTTTGTCTCGATGCCATCTCCTCTTCGTTTATGCTTTCATTATAATCTCTGTACTCTGCCTCACATTATATATATCCAGCCAGCTAAACAACAGAGCTTTACAGTCAACTCTTCAGTCAACATCTTCAATGGAAAGACTCAAAGACTACAAAATTTAAAGTACCCACTTCACACTTGTTCTCTGTCTTTGTTAGTAGTTTCATCAACTATTCAGTACCACACATCTAAAACCCACTAGTCATCATTGTATCCCTTACAATTTATCCATCACATATATTTGTTTCACTTTCTAAAAATATCACATTCACTTTTCTCCAGGTTTTCTGCTTAGTTCAACTAAGCAGAGATCATTGATTACACTCTGACACATGTGATCTCTTCACATATGTATCTGACTACGTCATGTGCCTATTGAAAATGATTTAATGGTTTTTAGGATTTACAATCATTTGGCTTTATTTAATCCTACCATTTACCCATGGTTAAATCACCTGCCATTTATCAACACAGTGGCTTTGAGCAAAGCATACGTGATGCCTGTATTTCTGATTTCTCATTTATAAAAGTTATGTTAATAATGCATATCACCTAGGACTGGTGTGTGTCAGTGGTGATTGTCTCTGTGCTGATGAGCAATCTTAGATCCCATGGTTCATTCACTTTCCAATTTTTATTTGACTATTCTATAGTCTCTCTTCTCAGATATGAGACTCTTTCCTTATTGTCAGGATCACATTGTTTTCTACTTCACTGACAAAAAAGAAGTCATCAGAAGAAAACTCTCATCTTCCATTACCACATATCACTATCTTGGTGGTATGTATGCTACATAGAGCGTCACCTCTCGTTTCTATGGCTGCAATGCCCATGTCCGCCATTAATATGTCGGATTCCATTCTTTCTTGTTCCCCCCCACTGCAGTGTCATCAGTCTGACAATTATTCTCTTTCTCTATTGTATAATCTCTACCTCTATATATACACAAACATATTGTCATTTTGTCTCTTTTTTAAAGAAGTATTTCTTTTACATCACTCCCCCTGGACACAGCTACACACACTTCTTGATTTCTTTTTTTTTTTATAAGCCAGAAAGAAAAAGAAAAATACCAGATGGTTTCACTTATAGCAGGAGTATACGGGATCAGGAAGAATATCTATCTATCTATCTATCTATCTATCTATCTATCTATCTATCTATCTATCTATCTATAAATTATAATAAATTAAAAAAGAACATCACCTAACAACTATACACCTTCTTGATTTCTTTTAACAGCAAAACTTATTGAAAGTTGAATCTATAGTTCGTCTCTAACTTTTACCTACCTATTTCCTATAGAAGTTTCTCCAATGAGTTTTTTATCCTTCACTCAACTTATGTTGAGCATTCTCTCAATACTACGGATGGTTTGCAATGTGTTAGTCTAATCATTTCTCACTAATTTGATCTTTAGCAATTTGTTTGGTCCAATCATTTTCACTAATTTGACACTGTCAGTTACTTCCATGTTTTGAAGCATTTAGCTCATCTTATACCACAGAACCACAGATACATATATTCTATGATCATTCTTTTTTTTTTTTTAGTCACCTTTACTGGCTCCTCCAACATCTTAAATATTTACGATCCCTACATTCAATTCTTGGAAATTTTTCCTCAATATGGTTACTAATAAGATAGTTCTTATCTACTCTCATGACATTAAATATCATCTGTAAAATGATGAATGCCAAATTTATTTTTGTCCTTTGAATTTCTCTGAATTCCAGATTCACATGAGCAGTCCTTTTAAAATCATCTGTACTCAGATATCTTCGAGATCTCTCAAAGACCAGTGCAAAGTTGGATTCTTGATCTTAACCTGTTACCTTCCAAACCTGGCATTGCCAATGTCCTTTGTATCTCAAGATACCACAAATCTATCATTTTAGTTTTACTTGGTAGATATACTTGATTCCTCTCTTTCACCCAGACTTTGCCTCTCATATATCAGTAAACATTGTGACCATTTTTCACCATGTTAACTGTTGCTGTGTGAATCTAAGGCATCATCTTTAGCCTGCTTCATTGACATAACCTCACAATTGATCTTACAGCTTTTCTCTGAATCTCTGATAATATACTATCAGCCTATCACCCAGAATATCCTATGTACCACAGTATGTAACTTTTCTGTGAAAACCTTTTCACTTTTTTCATATCTCAGAGCAGTAGTCAAAACCTGTGATAGCTACCAGCATCTGCACCAGTTAGCCTGATTCTCTTCACACCCTGATTCTTCATATCCTATTGCTTTCCTTCTTTCTCTCTGATCCTGTTACTGTGTGCTCTTGCTACTTATAGAACATGTCAAACACAGTCTGCTTCAAGGGTCTTTGCTTGAAGCAAAGATATTCTGCTTGGGATATTCTCTTCTCATTCACATGTATCATCTCCTCTCTGCTTTCAGGTCTCTATTTAAGTGGCATTATGGCAATGAAATATTCTCCAAGAACAGAACAAAATAATCCCACTCTCTTTTTGGCTCTTTGTTGCCTCGCATGAACTGCAACCCGGCACATTATATATTTGTTTGTTTGTTTATTTATACTTTGACTGCCTGTCATGCTTCCTTAAAATATACATTCATGAAGGCAAATATGTATTGTTTGTTCATTTTTGTATCTTCAGTGCTTAAAACAATAGTTGTCAATTGATTTTCATTAAGTGATTACACTAATACATTTAAAAGTAAAAAATATTTAAAAAGAGTAAACACTCAATAAGTAAACTATAATAATTTTATAATTTAATTATGAGAAGGATATATAATATGGATCCCAATCACCTGGGATACCTAGCTCTTAAAGTTCACCTAGCACTTTAAATTCTTACCTATAGACATTGGACAATATTTGATCTCCGTGCTTCAGCTTTTCATGTCCCAGAATGAAGCTAACAAGAATAGCCATTGCAGTGAAATTTTGAATATAATTCAAACTGAAAGTATCATCTCTACTAGCAGAATTTCTGACACTATTGCAGGTCAATACAGGTAACCTTGAAGACTGATAGGTATATTCAATGTATTTGAAGCCTCAGAAACAAATAATCATATGTCAAATGGAGCTTGCCAACCTCATTCACAGTGATAGTTGTGAGAGCATTTTAAATTGACATTGAGCAGATTTTGCAGATAAAATTGTGTAAAGTAGAATAAACTTATTCTAAAAATGCCAGTCATGAAATCTCAAGTAGTTATATTGTTATGTTAAATGATTTTGAGTCATTTGCTTGATATCTTTGGGTAGGTTATGGTTGGGCTAGCTTTCTAACAAATATAAAGTATTAGATATAGGACATCATCTATATCTATATCTATAGCTAACTCAAATGCAATAACTAAGAACTTTCAAAACATAAAGTTATAAAAAGTTTTTGTAAATTATTCAAGTCACATAATCAAGTGGAAAGCGGAGATTGAAAGAAAATACAGTTTGGTTCTGTATACTTTTTATTTTTATCCAGGGGAAAGGTTTGATCTTTCCCTTAATCACTCTAATCAATCTACCTAACTTGGAGAATATTATCCCTCAATTCCTAACTTTACCAAGTGCTGAGTATGGATTATTTTAACTAGTTGATGATTTATTTTTCAAGTTCAGATCTAAGCTTTCTGTGTTGTAATTAGTATCATACTAAAGTATATAAGCTTTATTTATTCATTTATTTAATAAATGAACCCTGAAGCAGATTTCAGTATTTAAGGGGCTCTGTGGAGTCCTGATGTCAGGCAAAAGCAGAGTCTAAAGACAATTAGGCAAATA